TCTAGAATAATTTGCCTGAACCCCGGGGGTTCATAAATTTCACCCTGAACCAGGGGTCCAGAATAAGGACGCTCTTTATTATTTTGACCAATAATAATCACGTTGATCACTATTGATCGCCAGCCAATAAAAACGAACTTTCTCTATGGCATATAAACTTCAACGCCTAACTGTGAAGTATGTGATAAGAAGATTCCAATAAAACAATAAAATTACTGTGCTACGTGATAAATCATATAATGACGTATAACGTGAATTATGACGCAAGTAAGCTCTCAATTTCAGCAAAAATGATAACTCGCAGCAAAAAAACTAAAAGTAAAGTACACGTGTTTTTGAGCATTGTTTGTGGAGAACTCATTGTAATTAATGAAAAAATATCTTTCGTAGAAAACGTTCCACCCACTATTGCTAGCACATCTGACACATCAAGTACATCAACAGGTGCCGAAATAATTGAAAATGTTGAAAGTGTTCCACACCTGCAAAAGGAACTATCTATATCCAGTGGTAAAGTAGACTTATTACAAGTACCGTTTTGTGGAGAAGTCATTAATTGCTTTCTGCGAAAAAACAGGTTTCGAAACCCTTCAGTTAGGCCCCTCGTCACCCCCTTTCAAAATCTGGATCAAGTACGGTGACAGCCGACCAGTTAGACTTACATTCGACGGAGAGATTGTAGACGATTTGATAGAATCGATCAAGAAGAAACTGTCACCCGATTTGAATGATGTGGCCCTTAACCGCATTACTCTAAGAAAACACGATGAGGAAACAGACTTACGTCCTGGGCTACCAGTGGATGAGAGTTTTAAAAACGATGATGAATCTCCTCTACAAGTCATCGTAAATGCACCTGGTATGTATTCAAGTTCATTGGTAAGAATCGATGATTAACAGGTTAACTATTGCTTTATGATTTGCAACATAACTAACTTTGGCTTTTAACAAGTGATTTCAAAACGTAAACGTGAAGAATCACCAGAAGATTTGAGCGAGATCGTAAAAAGTGCAGTGCGGGAAGAATTCTCCCGGAAAAAGCCTGCTGATCAGATCTCAGCATCCAGTCTTTCTGATAAAAGGACTAATAAGATCTTGGATGATCTTGGGATAAGGACTGTAAAAGTAAGTACTTCTTTTTCCGTATTATTTAGCGCCTCCTATCACTTATTACTTATCTATTGTCTAGTTATCAGAGAAAGTCTTCCAACCACTTCAACCCATAACATATCAACCGTTCGTATGGGATATGGAAAGGGAAGAAGCTCAACAGATGTCTAATATTGTGACATGGTTTAAAAATGCACTAAAGTTGCCAAGGGATTACCATGTGAAAGATATACATACGCAAGTGACTCATCAACAAAATTTGCCAGAAGCGAACGTCACTATAACGGGTGGCGCCGACATATCCATTGGACCAAGTGAAACGGATTGTGTCTGGATTGAAACTAAGAAAAAAGAAGAGGATTTTAAAGAAGGTCAAGCCGTGGGAGAGTTATTCTTAATAGATAAGAACCATCCTATAAATTCGATGGTCGTCTTGACTGATTGCAATGATCGTTGGAGTATTTTCTTTTTCGCGACATTGGGAGATAGAAACGATGAAAAATGCATAGTAAAGGCTAAAATTGATGACCGTGGTATTGCCTTGGCGATAATTAAACAATATGTAATTGTAGAAGGAAACAAGTTTTTCAAATGGTTAGGAAAGGACGCCAGTTATCAAGTAGAAGTAGACGTATCTTCACCTCTTCAAAAGAGAATAAAATTTTTCGAATACATACCTGAAGCTGATGATAATAACAAGATAAAAGAAGTTGGTGACATGTCAAGACAGGAATCATTAAATATTGATATCCGCAAAGGGTTAACGATGTTAAGAAATTGGTGTAGATTAGATGAACAACCACAAGTAGATAAACTTATTAGACAATTTAGTGATGATTATGAAAATCCTCCACCACAGATGTTCGCATAGCATAAATATAGATAGTAACATGTATAAAAAATTTTGTCGCGCGTTACATCTTTTATCGATTTATTAATTTTCAATGGTCTTCTAGCCCTAATGTTAATAAAAATAATAAAGTTATGCATTTTGTTCGCATGTTTTGATTAACGACAATTGATGACAATTGATCAGTGTTTATGTATCTCTGTGATCTGCTTGTCAATATTTGATAATTATATTTTGTATTGTGTAATTGAATAATTCAACTTTTATGATGTGTTACTGACATTTAAGTACTCCCAATGATACCCTCCGGCAGAGGCTAGACGACCTTTGCAAACTTTACCAATATTTGATCTATCAATTCCAGTTATGCGTTGTGCTTCAGCTAAGGATGGAAATTCTTGACAAGACCAATCATCAAACATCTGCTTAACACCACATTGACGCTGAAGCCCGAGGCGCACAGCATGCTGAAGAGTTTTCTTTTTTGAACACCATTCAAGATTAGATGCTTTAATGTTTGTTGAATCCCCGTCAATATGATTCACATATCATTTGCCTTCTTTTTTGGGGGCAAAGTGATGCTATCAAGCGATGGACAAAATATTTGTGGACTTTGCAATCAAAACGTTTTCCAATTTTAAGATATCCCGCATCTAGAGATCCTTGAGTGATTTTACCATTCCTTAACCAAATTCTTCCTAGAGATGAAACTTTGAATTTTTGAGATTGATATTCAATATCACTCCATTCTTCATTGGAATCTTGTTCTATGTAATCTTCATAATACATCCAGCACCATTCACCAGCGGTATTTTGCTTTCCTCTACAACATTTTGAAATACTACTTTTAATTATCTTCAGAGTATTTGATGCGAGAGTGACAGAATCCCAAATCTGAATCTCTCTCTCTCTCTCAACATTCCCATCTAATGACTTCTGTACGATTCGTGTGGAACTACGACCAGGATTTGGGAATACTGTACGTTCAACATTCTTCTTCGGAGTTACCGATTATCATGTTTAATGATGGTTAATATAAGGTTTATTTTCTGGGTTAAGAATGAAGGCTTGTGCAACTAAAATGTGAACTCTGGTATTTTTACATACACCATTAATTTTAAACTCTGTTAGTATATAACCACTTCTTTTGCAAGCATTTCGCCTTAAAATCTCACCTTTATTGTTTTTGATATGTCCAAATTTGGATACAAATAAATTCGAAAGTGATATAGGTAACCAAACCTCCATTATGATATGATCTCTTTTATTACTAATAGTTGTTCTTTAAATTTATGAAGTCAATAGTATGATATTTACATATCGTGTCTGTTCTTTGGATTATTTTTTCATTTCGAATTGCAGAGTATGTTTACTGCGCACATTTTTGTGCCAGTGTGACACGCGTGTCGTGGGGTGCAAAAAAGTCGTAGTTGGAACAATTTGGTATTATTGGAATCCAAGTAGCCGGATGTAGGTTGAGTTTGAATTTTCTTATAAGAGACGACCATCGATATTATAAATTACATGAAACTGAGATCCCTATTAGATATTTCAACTATCCTTCTATTTTAGCTGATTTTTTATTATTATTTCGCAATACTTTAACTGGCATAAAGCCCGTGCCTTTGGCATGGGAGAGTCTAAAGTGGTTAAATGTTTGTGTTACATTTGACAGTTTTAATTGGGTGAATTGGTATTGGTCAAAAAACTGTGATTTATTGTGGCGTGGATGGTCACGCGCGAGCATAATGGGGAAATTTTGGTGATGAAAAGTAGCCTTAGATCAAAGGATTTACAAAGGATGGAAGTTGATGTAACGGAGTTAAATGTGAAAATCTGATTCCTTTTTTTGGATTGATGTGAATTTTATAAGGATAAGGGGGTAAGAAAGTGATTATTTTGATTGGTAGGTTTTGAAAATGCTGTTGTCAATGTATTGATTAATAATTACATTAGTCAAGACTATAATTTCATCATTAAAGTTGTGTATTCATGTTCTAATTTGCAATTTGCAAATCTGATGACTTTAATTCACCCATTGTATTTATTACTAGGCAAATGGAAATAATTGATAATGAGTTTTATGTTTATTCAAAAGATATCAATTATATAGATGATATTTTTTTTTCTTTCAAGCAAAAAGGTTTTGATAACAATAGTTCTCCTGAAGTTACATCAGGAAATTTTTAAAGGTGAATAACTCTGTAAGTTTTCGGGATGTAAAATTTCCGTAAATTTTTGCATAAATTTCCGTAAATTTTCGTAAATCTTCAAAATTTTTTGATGTAAAATTTTGCGAAAATTTTTG